TTAGTAAACAGGCTGAAAGCCAAACAAGAATCAGTTATCGCTCAGATTGGCGAAAGTGACGTTTCCTTTTCATGTGACGATTGCTTTTCCGTGTTGTATTTTGTGTCGCTCAAACTCTTTTCGTTTTAAACTTGATTGTTAGTTATGGAAAATAATAGAAAGGCTATTAAATAAATCACTTTTATCTCAACTCTGGCGATTCTAAAAGCTAAAGAGAATAAACGTGCAAAGAGAAGTCCTATTCTTTGTAATGATCTGTTGTATATATTTGATTTTATTAGTGCAAATAGTTACTTTTGAGAGGTCATGCATTTAGTCGACTTCAATCTCCTAATTATTTCTTCAATGATTGCTAGCGGATAAATTAGATATTTTGTTATGCTATTTAATATTTTGTTGTAGTGTACGAAATGTGGATTTCCATGATTTGTGTGGGAGACTAAATTATTACTCTGACGCAAAGCTACGTATCTTGTATAAGGACTACTTGTGGGAAACTATAATTTCATTCTTGATCATTTCATTAATATGGGTTTCTACTATGTCCTCTTTTTAACCTTGTAGAGACATTAGGTAGTTTTTGGAAGCAGGAAAGATGAAAAATTAGCATCCGCCTTCGCCGGGAATCGAACCACGGACCTCTAGAATACCGGTCCAGTGTGCAGACCACTACACCACGAAGGCACGCCAAGAAGGGGGGAGAAATACCTTATACACTCCCCCTTTTAAAGGGCGACTGTGGTTTTTAGGGGACCAAATCGCCAACTCCTGGGTGAGGAGAATCATCATCTAATACCCTTTTAGTTCGGGCGCCACTGTAGAGACATTAGGTATTTTTTGGAAGCAGGCAAGATGAAAAATTAGCAAACGCCTTCGCCGGGAATCGAACCATGGACCTCTGGAATACCGGCCCAGTGTGCAGACCACCACACCACGAAGGCACGCCAAGAAGGTGGGAGAAATATCTTATAACCTTACCGTATCTATAAGGTTTTGCTCTACAAGGAGAAATTTTATTCATATCTATCTCGTGTATGACTACGTGCGTTAATCCAAAGGTCTGAATAATCGAAACGTGAAGAGTGTTAACAAGAACGTGATTTTTTTTCTTTTTTGGCTGAAGGTAAGTGCTTGAGGTGCAGCGTTGGTGGCTTAGGGTCCACGCCTGTACCACGCTTATTTCTAACTCATCCTTGTCCGGTTTAAATCCATTCGTGGTCCTACTTCTTTCAAGAAATCCAAACCCAAGATCATATTAGCCTTCTAATTCCTCATAATATTCAACATAGAAAAACTTTAGAAGTTTTTCACCCTTTACCTGGATGCTTAATATCACACTGCCTTTGCACTCTCAACACTGACCCTGTGCTGTTGTCATTTTTGTCCTAAAAATTTTAAATATCCTATACATTCTAAAACATTTATCAAAAACTTTTCCTATCATGATGGTTGCTTTGATAATCTGGTCCATGATAATTTATTATTTTCATGGAAAGGTGTAGGATGTTTTTCTTTGATTACAGCTTGCTGTTTGAGGTGTCTGATAAGTAATTTCTAATTCATTAAAATATAATTCTACAATGATAATTACTCTAAGTATCGTAGGCACGAAATTGGAACAAATCACTATAGAGCTCACATCTCGGGTGAAACGTTCCTCGCCCAGTATCACAAATCTGTAATAAATTAGACTAATAGCAAACCAGCAAATTGCAAGCACGAAGGTTCGTTGGTGTTTAATCAATTCGTGAAGTGTTTCTTGTTAATGTAAAAGATCCAGTTTTAGTTGTACATCCCTAGCCATTTCATATAATAGAAAATTCGCAGTAGAGAAAAAGGAAAAGGTGGAAGAAAAAAAGAGTAAGTAAAAAGTAGCTCTGTAGTAATATATGCAGCTATCGTGCGTAATTCGTTTTTATCGTGATGATGATGCCACAGAGGTAGAGTGCAAAGTATTAAGGATTTTCATTAATTCCTTGCAGACATTTCCCGGATTAACCGCAGCACCTTGTAATCATCATTACTGAGTAAAAGAGACGCCAACTATCTGAGGAATTTTAAAATTTTATATTTCCGAATTTAAATTTCACAAGCCGTTTCTGAATCACTTGTATTTAGATTCTATATAGCTTAATAGTTTGCATTTTATAAAAGTATTTAAATACCGTGCTCATATGCTCAAGTGTCAAGCACCTAAACTTTATTACAAAGGTTTATAGATTAGCATACCTTTTTCCTGTTACAGGATTTGCACCTTTCATTGCTGACACACTGGTGTACTTATTCAAATGCTTTAAAGGTAAAAGTGCAGAATAGGCTGCATCAACAAAGTTAAAAAGGCGGAGGTGCGTGACGTCCATAAATAGGTGAGACTAAGCTTGTGACGTCACAATGTATTCTCGCATTTACACTTACGCGTACTTTCTAGTTCTTTTTAAAATAACAATAATGAATTGTTTGTTATTGTAAGTTAATATCAAATTCTTTGGTTTAAATGCACATTTATAGCATTTAAGCTTAGGCATTACTGAAAATAAGTATAATAAATTGTTTATATTTAAAATTACCATTATACAGTGAGCGAATTCTACCATTTATTAAATCGATAAACAACGTCGTAGTCTCTAATACTTGTATTTCATACAGCTTCAATATTTTCAAAGGTTTTTTAAACTTTAGCATCTATACAAAAAAAAAAAAAAAAAAAAAAAAAAAAATTTAAAATTTAAATTTATATTGTGGAACATTTCAACTTTATGATTTTTATCTTGTTGCTTACGTAACGGCATAATTCCTTACATACCAGTAATTAGACAATTTTCCTTATTTTCTAAAGATTTTAAACTTTACATTAATAAAAAAGAAGAATATTTTTTATTGCATATGAACATCATTACACAGCTTTCATATCAGTTTCTAAAACTCCTAAATCGCGTCATATTCTCCGTTCTCATACTAGAATTCTACGCACTAATAAATAAAAAAAATCTAATTTCTCACAATGAAAGAAAATAATATAAGAAAATAAATACTACGAATTTGGAATACTAAGCAATACTTCACATACGCACACACACACATATTATCAATGAACTCATATTATCAAGTGCAATTACGATACCAAACACTACGTTTTAAAATAATGAGGTAAACGTTACTTATATCAAATTTTACAGTTTTGCTACTGTTGAGTAGATCGTCGGACTATCGATATTTACCGTAAGTCGGAAAGCAATATCAACATATCAAAACCAAACAATTAAAAAATACAATTAAAATAACAAAAAAGATGTCTCAAATATAATTTACAATTAACACAACAATAAAAACTTAAAATACACAAACGATATGTGAAACATTGCACACAAAAAAAGTTACATTTCTGCTCGGCATCACAGAACTTCGTTTTCCCTTGTACACAACTATCCGTATTCGCTCGAAAAACAGCAAAGAATTGCACAAACTCGGTGTCCATGTGCACATCCATCTATTTTCACTTAAAAAAAAAAAAAAAAAAACAGAGAATTGCACAAACTCGGCATCGCACACAACCTCAGCATTGCGCACTACATTGGCTTTGTACACATCGATCTATTTTCACTTAAAAAAACATCAGATAATTGCACAAACTCGGCATCGGACACTACCTCGGCATTGCGCACTACACTGGCTTTGCCCATGCACATCGATCTATTTTCACTAAATCAGAGAATTGCAGAAATTCGGGATTACTCATATACTCAGAAATCTGCTTTCACTTAAAAGAAATCGAAGAATTGCAGAAACTCGCGGATAACCAACTCCACTGATTCGAGTTGTAAAAAAATGTTTTTAGAAAAATTACACAAAACAAAAATAAAGCTACCAGAATAAAGTAACTACCGAACATCCAAATTGCCATATTTTTTGACAAGCACCCGATATTTTATTTACGTGAATAATACCTAAATGAAACTTACCTTCAGTCCTCTCCTTTTGCATCCCATCACATTCTCCTTCAAACACCCCACCCAATACACCATTCTTCTTCAAGCATAACTCTATGCACATTTCCCTACAAAAACATTTCCAGTCTGTCACCGTATTTTTAGCAATACGTAATTCCGTTCGTATAAAATCATTCCCGCACTTACCCAACCACATATAGGTAACTCGCAAAACACCACACATACTCAGTTAACTCTTCCCAAACCACGAGTGCTTTCGAACAGACCTTGTAATTCGATGCTTACATTCACCTCCAGTAACTCTACACATCCACTCAAAACCATCTATACAATTCTTTCGCTCTACTAGTTTCCTATCAGTTTCACAAATTGAGCATTTATACGATCTTGCAATCAAACGTTTCTTCATACACAATCACGCTTTTTTTACCTCTTCGCTCCAACTGATAGAAAAAATCCAGATTCAGATTCTTATCCATTCTGTAGTAAGCACCGAATCAGACACACTCATCAATAATCAAAACATTCTTTAAGCAAAAGAATTCTTTTCTGTATTTTGAGAAGTTACGGTTATAATTTTTAATTCAAGCATTCAATATTTTCAATCATTTGGTAATGATCGTTCAATCGTTTATCTTAATAATATATTTGTGAGAGATAACTCGTTGCGTTAAATGCTAACACTACCACACAACACACGTAAGTAGATTTATAATTTAAAAAAATCTCGCGCAGAACATTATAAACCTAACAATTCGACTCATTTAAAATATAATTTAAGTTTGCGTTAAATATGAAGCTATAGCATACTTATAAATTGTTTTTAAGAAGAGGCGTAACCAATATTACGTCATAAAAAGGCGTGTCCAAGCATAAGACAAGTAAACACCGCATCGACTGATGCAGCCTATTCTGTGATTTAGCCGCTTTTAAATACAGTTTCAGCTATCCCATAACATATTTTCGGAAACAGATTAGCCTACAAAACAAATTCGAAATATTTTCATTTATTTATTTATTAGAACCTCTTATCGTCAAATTAAGTTTTTAAAAACATACATGTTCCAGTTTTAAAAGTATCTTAGACGCTACTAACAAACTGAAATTTTGACAAATCTGTTTCGTAACTCTAATACTGGAAACGGGTTTTCATTATATGTCAAATACGATTGACAGAATGAGGATCCTGAAACTATTCTTGTATAGAAACTAAGATGTTATCGTCCAAATTAACGACTTCAATCGTGTCTTTTGCTGTCATTCTTTGATTTCAATTCTCTTTTTTATTGCATTCTCATTCTTTATTATTGATACTGCTAACAATAACAACAATGCTTAAGGGAAAGATTGTAATCTTTTCTTAGGGCTGATACGTCAAATGATAGCTGACCTTGCGTGACAGAGTTGTTAAAATTCTTGACACAGAGCTGCAACTACCTGATGTTTCATTAACTGTGGCTGGAATGTTCTGTTATAGCAACTTGATATTATATTGTCAAAAAAGGGTATAAAATCTTCTTCGATGCCAAAATGTTGCGATAAAAATGTCTGAAAATAATACATATCCACCTGGATTTGTTGGAGTCCGAAAGAGTTGAATGTAATCTGTCTGATATATTCACTATAACATTTCAAGGTCAGATTCACAATACAGCTCGTAATTGAATAACTGGTAAAGTCAACGGTTTTGAAAAATGTCGGTTGCTGGATGAAAATCGTAGAAATACGGTTAAAAACAGCTTCATCCGTAGGATCTTGAATTGGAGAGTTTATTTTTAGTTTCGAATTAAATGTTCTTCCGGAATCACTAGCTCTATCTCGTGATGAACCCTTAGTGCTTCCAAACAGACTTTCTGTCTCAGATTTAGTTTTATTCAAATCTTCCAGAACTCTTTTTACAACAACGCTCACTCTTCGTGGCTCTTTAACTCTCATCCATTTTTTGTTTTCGAGGCTTTTTCTGACCATAGCTGAAGTTTTTTCTTGACGAATTCTGACGTACATGTCCAACATTTCTCTAGCAACAGCTTTAAATTCACATGCAATGTCAGATGCCTGAGACAAGGGAATATCATCGATCGGCGCGTACAATTGCTCATCTATCATATTCATAAACTGAGTTATAGATGAGTGGTACATTTGCAACATATACTTAGAAAACAACAGAGACAAAGCTGGCAAGTACAAAGTCTTTTTATCAGCATTTTGCAGTATTTCCAAAGATTTTGCCTTAATGTAACGAAAATAAGAAACAAAGATACCTTCGCGAGCAAATGATTTGCAAAATATTTTCCTGAAATGAATATTTCTAGAAAATATAAATTCTGGCCTGACAAAATTTTTAAGAGAAAAAAGAACGGTTAGAATATTATCCTTCATAGAGGTTTCAAATCTCATATATGAAATATTCAATGAATGAGATTTTTCACTTAGCTCTTTCATCAATCGTTCTGATTCGGAAAGAAAAGCATTCGTTAAATTGCGAAGATGAAATTCACACCGATCAGCACAGATTTTGAGCATCATTTGGATACTTTTCGTATAAAAATCTAACTGTGGTAAAATTAAATTGCAATCATGACTTCGGCGACAAAGCTTATCAAGAATTATTGACATAAATTCATCATTAGTATACACGAAAGCTGATTGAAAATTTAGGTAAAGAACAGAATACAGCCTTTGCGCAAATTTTTCTATAAAATCTTCTAACATATTATAAGCACTAAAAGAAATATTTTTCTTATCGCATTTTAAAAATACATTTCTTACTACAATGATTATTTTTGACAATAACTGAACGTAGTAGCAACTCAAAGCAATGCACCCTGTGAGTTCCAAAGTTATTAAATCTTCTTTGGTTTTGCCCTCCACTTTTTCTGATATTTCGAGACCACACTTTTTGTGAATTGCTGACAATGTATTAGCCAAACAATCTTCTGAATGACTCAAAAAACATTGCAATGTCAGATTAGCATCCACATTTAGAGCTAGAATTAATTTCGCAGTTTCTTCCATTTCCTCCTCATTAAAAATGTCACACCTTAATTTTTCTTTTAGTTTCTGTTTTACATGATCCATAATTTCATCGCACTCCTTTACTATACCTCTGAAGGAAGGAAAATGGTGATATTTTTGCAGAACACTTTTAGCTTTTAAATAATGAAAAGCCGCTGTTTCATACTTCCTGGATTCAACATGAGCTTTCAGGGTTGGTATGAGATCAGTAAGTAGAACAAGTTTTTTCATAACTTCTTGCCATTTTAAAAGTTTAGTTATTTTACTCTGAGTGGGTTGTAAGTTCTCTAAAACAGCAGTGCTTATTCCTTCTAAATCTTTCATTTTGGACTGCAGCAAAGTTGCTTCATCTTCCATTTTATTAATTTCCGATTTTATACTCGAAACCATGCTAGACGCTTCAATAAATTTACGATAATTATCATACAACAGACTTTGCATGTCACTATGTAAAATTCGAATTTGCAGATCTAGCTGATTCTGCCTTGTTATCATTTGATAAAGACTGCAGTTATCCACATATTTCAGAAGACATAACATTGCATTAAATTCTTCTTTGTCCATGTCACAAGGATCAAATTCTTCTTTTTTAAAATCTGCAATAATAAACCTCAGTACAGAAATTAAAAAATAACTTAAATTTGTTTCACGACATGTATTTTAATGCATTCTTAAATGATTATTGTTAATATTAAATAGATGTTGATAGTTACAAAGTTGAAAATAATAATTATGTCACATTAATGGTAATAATAATAATACATAAAATACAGGTATAATCCAAAACCAGGGATCTATTTTTGACTAAGCTTGATTTCTTTGATCAAAAATATATTACTTTTATGTCATAATCACCTTATTTGCCGGATTTCTTACTCATTCGCCTCGCTGTTTTCTTTTATCAGTATGATTTTATCAGTATTGAGTTTACCGATAAACTATTTTCAGAAAAAATCCAATTATTCAATGCGATGGCCAGTCCATGGCAAATACCAAAATGTGACATTCTCTCAGTACTTTTAAGAATATCAAGAGCCCTGCGGGGATACTGTATGTTATCCCATGAATGTTATTCTAATGAAACTAAATGATAAATTTTTACGTTTTAAATACAGCTATTATCTTACAAGCAATTTCTGTGAATCTTTCGAAAACTGAAATATCATTCATTGGCTGAAATAACGCATATTTTATGCCCGAAACTGAAGACATAATGAGATAGATTTCGCAAGAGAAGAAGAGGAAGAATGACCTTGTTTGTTTACATTAGTTATATGTAAGTCACGTGACTTCTGAGGTCATCGGAATGTATCTGATTCTCGTAATTAAAACATCCGCAATCTAATAAACATTCAAACGTGTTTTGTTTTTCATTTATAATTATTATTCCATCCTGCTGAAAGGAATTGTTATGACGGTACGAAACACTTCCCAGTTGAAAATATTACTTCATACAGTTGCTTTTACCAACATCAAATATTATCGAATTATGAATGTAGGATATAATAATATTTATCGCAAGTCAAATAAAGCCTAATAAACTGATTTAGAAAGAAAACATTTTAAATGGATATTGCTTTATCAATGATTATATTTATTTATATAATTCGAAACCAAAATAAAATTGTATTTTGTGAAAATATTACATTACCATTCATCCTGTTTGTAGGAGAAGATGAAGAATAAAAACACACCTCTTGATTTGTTTTAAATACTTAAAAAATCGTTCTTAACTTTATTGTAAAATGACGACAAAACAGTTTAATTACTCTCTTAGGGAGTGTATTTTAAAAATACGAATTGAATATTTTTCAAGTTTTCTTAAAGTTTAAAAATTAAAATAAATAAATAAAAATCCGATAAATTTAAGAATTTGAATGAATTGAACTCACGATTACCAATCCTAGGAGCTGCCACTTGCGTGCAGCTAAAAAAAATGTTTTCGGAAATAATTTTTATTAGATTAAAAATTATAGAGAGATTTCTTGGTTAAAATATAAAATTTTTGAGAGTGATCTAATATTTTGTGTTTTAATCCATAGTAACAAAGAATTCAAATAAAATGCCCTTTTATTTATTGCTTTTATACCAGTGATAATGTAAGTGAATGGAATATGCGATTAATTTCGCCAGTGTAATTCATCAAATCTTTCATTTATCTTTTCTAAACGTCAAACAAAATCAGTAACGCTGTTGACAGCAGATAACTAAAATGCCATTTGCAGAATGTAAGTGGAAATTGTTATTCAGTGCAGGTAATTTCGGGAAAGTGATCAGCCATAGCTTATGTTTCTTAAACTGTAAGTACGGTTAATATTTTCAGTAATAATAATAGTAATAAATAATGCTTAAGTTGTTTATTGCGTAAAAGCGACATGGAGGTTTATTTTTAAATACTTTAAGGAAATTGAGTGAAGAGAATAAACCTCAGTACAGAAATTAAAAAATAACTTAAATTTGTTTCACGGCATGTATTTTAATGCATTCTTAAATGAATTATTGTTAATATTAAATAGATGTTGATAGTTACAAAGTTGAAAATAATAATTATGTCACATTAATGGTAATAATAATAATACATAAAATACAGGTATAATCCAAAACCAGGGATCTATTTTTGACTAAGCTTGATTTCTTTGATCAAAAATAGATTACTTTTATGTCATAATCACCTTATTTGCCGGATTTCTTACTCATTCGCCTCGCTGTTTTCTTTTATCAGTATGATTGAGTTTACCGATAAACTATTTTCAGAAAAAATCCAATTATTCAATGCGATGGCCAGTCCATGGCAAATACCAAAATGTGACATTCTCTCAGTACTTTTAAGAATATCAAGAGCCCTGCGGGGATACTGTATGTTATCCCATGAATGTTATTCTAATGAAACTAAATGATAAATTTTTACGTTTTAAATACAGCTATTATCTTACAAGCAATTTCTGTGAATCTTTCGAAAATTGCACATGCTGGGAATTGAAAGTAGCTATTTGCAGACCTTTTCCCATATCTAACAGATATCAAACACTCAGTTTTTAGAAAAACGCCGTCTTTAACTAAATGCAGGTTAAAAAATATTAGTAATTGATATGATGCATCATTATTTGTTGTTACAAAAATGGCAGGATCTTCCAGTAAATAACAGTTCGGATTTTGTTGCGATAAAATGTGACTCTTCTTATATGTTGCCTCTTGGAAAACCATGAGCAATTTCTAGATAGAAATAAATTTCCTTTAATTAGAAGAAAAAATTCTTTGATTAAATAAATAAATATTAAGAAATTTGCTCTTCGAAAACATTATGTTACGTTCTTGTTCAAATAAAATTTTGCTTAAAAAAATCGTACAAAATCGTACGTACCCTTCTCATCTTAAATAAAATAAAATAAAAAAAAAAAAAAAAAAAAAAAAAAAAAAAAACTCAAAAGTTTCAGGTTTTTAATTACGTCCAAAGTGTCATTTTTTTAACGTTTTGTCTGTTACCTTTGTTTATTAAATATCATGTTTTACGTACTCAAACTATAAATTTAGTTCAACAGCAATATCGCAAATTAATTTTAAAATGAGCATATCTTTAGAATTTCCGATACAGAGTCTCGCGAGCTGGAGATAAAAATGTTTCTTTGTTTTCCTCTTTCGTACAGTGTTGCCAGTGCTCGCTTTGAAATCGCTTAGTTTTTTTTTTTTTAATCAAAAAATTAGTTGAAGTGTTACAAAATATGAAATCGATAATAAAACAAATTTCGAATTCAAATTAAGGCTTCTACATGCCCATATTCTATGGAAGATTACGTTATTCAAATTTTGATAGCTCTAGGTACCGTTGTTTTATCACAGTGCGAGAAACATGCATACATTTATGCAGCTTCTTCATTATTTAATTTCTTTAAATATAAGACAGGGCGATTATATATGGTGGCAACGATTTGAAAAGTGATACAGCCTTTTAAAATTTTCATCGCAAAATGCCAAAACGAAATTAATAGTCCTTCAGGGCAAATTGCCCCTTTGGACTAATAATATTTATTATTGTTCTCATAAAGGTAAATCTTTGCTGAAGAGAAGTAAAACTCAGTTCAAAAAGCCCTTCAATTTAAACACCGTTGGGATCTGTTTTTGCAGTTCGTTTTTTGGGATGTAAATTAGTACAAAGAGAAGTAATATCAAAATGCTTAAAATAAAGAGTACAATTTTTTGTGTATAAAATTTTTAAAAAATAATAATAAATCCTACAATCTATATTTGTAACATTTAGAAGTTAGTAACTTAAGAACGGCAGCGCATAATACTTAGAGTTTTGCAACTTGGGAATGGCAACAGATTGGAAATATGTAAAAGTAGAAGTATGTCAGTTGTGGTTCTTTATCATGCTTAGAATTCCATGCGCCGAAAAGAGTAGATAAAAGTGCACACGCTTTGTTTTTTAAATAAAAATACAAAAAATAATAATCTTTTAAAAATAACAATATACAGAAAAGTTTGTAATCCGAAATCACCGCAAAATTTCATAATAATTATTCCATTTTATTTTGGATGAAGATCATATACTGAAAATGCAGGCTTAGAAATATTGTAGAAATACCAGGAATACGCGAGCGATTTTTCTGTAAGTATGTGAGCTTTTTTTAAGTAAAAATTAAATTTGTTTTCCTTTTACATTTTCAGGAACTTCTGCTCATATAAAAAAACTTAAACCGTCTTTAGTGATCCATCTTTTTTTTTTTTTTTTTTTTTTCATTATTAAATTTAATGATCCATGTAAGACTTCTTGATTGACTCCAAGGTTAAGCATATTCTTACATCATGGATGGGTTCCAAGTTTTTCTCCCTTAGCATATCGTTATAAGAACTTAAAGGCATTTCTCTCACGTATCCATATAATACAGTGGTTAATATACCTAAATGGTAACTGGGAGGTATCGAATTTAATATCCATGCAGTTCATGGTTTTATTTTTCGCCGATTTTTCATTTAAAGAAAAGAAAAAGGAAAAATCTCAATACGATAATGACAAGGAGTTCCTATCATTATCATTCTTAGCAATTGCACATGCTGAAAATTAGATTGCAAATTTGAGCTGAATTTGTTTTGAAATTTAAGTGGCAAATTTGATTTCTTCATATAATTCAACACGAATAAGTGGCTTAATTTTAAAAATCTCATATAGACACCAAATGACTTCCTTGCATGGACTATTAAATTATACACATTTTATGCTACACTTCATTTAAACTTACTTCCTAGAATTATTCTAAATTTACCGATTTCCCAAGGCATGTTCAAATGGACATCAAAATTGTAAATTTTGAAATTAAATGTCCCTGCAAATATTTTATCGTACGGAAACTTTCCCAAACATCAATATAGGGAATGGGAGATAGAATTAAAAGTTAAATTTCGTTATTTGTCGAAAATTATTTTTTTTTAAATTTGACATTGCTAAAACATGAATATTTTCGTTATTTAAAGATTTTTGTAATTAGAAGTATATTGTAGGGTTTATATTTATTTTTAATTAACATTTATTTTAAGTTTAAACTATCTTTCCTGTCAAGCCTTACTTTTCCCTGGAATTGCCAATGCCAG